CCTACGGGCAAGTGTCATCTGCGGGCAAGTGTCCTACGGGCAAGTGTCCTGCTGGCATCTGTCCGGCGGGCACGTGTCCTAGATTCCAATTCATCTTTGTTAAAAATATACACTATTTATATTTGATGTTAATATATCAATAACATGATCATGTTTTGAATATTTAACATATAAACATAATATAACAGAATAACTAAATAATCATTTAAATTAATTTTAATATAATTATTAATAAAATTTTCTAATCATATTTTGATATATAAAATGATAGAAAATTAATATATATTGATTTAGAAGCATTTTTTTTGTATTATAAAATAATTCTTTAATATTATCAATATGTTATAAATATTCACTATCACTATGAATATAATATATGTTTTTGATAATAGAGATTATTTTCTTAAATTACATAATTCACCTTTTAATAATTATATATTAACACATGAACATTGTATATCTTCTTCAAGTCTATTAACGTTTGTTTTAAGAGATTTATTTTCTAAAGATTTAATATTTGAATATTGATTTGTTGATATTGAAATATAAGGTATAGATAGAACCCTACAGGGTATGGGTAAGCTGCCTTATCAAAGCAGGGTCAGATTACAAGATTTTTTTAATAGGGTAGGGTACAGATTGCTGAGATCGTAACCTGTTAACCTGCAATAGAAATGTTGTCGGTCAGCATGCTTAGAATATTCCAAAGAATAAGATAAGTAATTATGAGCTAGATCAAATTATTTACATACATTTTTAGTATGAAGGGCAGTGTTTTATGCGGGGGGGTGCGCGGGGGCCCCCCCCCCCCCCCCCCCCGAAAATCGAGTTCGCCCCCCCGAAACTTGTGATCATCGTGCTATGAACACGTGGCTTGCCCCCCCGAAATTCCAAATCGCCCCTCCGGAAAAAAATCCTGGATAAAACACTGATGAAGGGTAATAATGTTTTATTTCTCGTTTGGATAATTCATGCTAGCACAAAACACCAGCATGTGCTCGTTTTTTTTCTTCGTTTTTTTTTCATTTAAAAGCTTTAATTTTCTCAAACTAAGCATTCCACAAACTATTCGTGAGTGTTTCCAATATTAGTACATTCGTATTGAAATGGCTCTACATGTTACTTTGATCTATATCTAATCTAAGTTTTCAATAAAAGCAGAAGAATGCAGTAAGAGACAAAATAGTTTCATTTTGATTTGAATTTTATAAGAAATAGTAATAGTAGAATTTCCATTAGATTTCTGTTCTATGGTATTGTTTATGTTGTTACTCAATTATTAGTATTATTTATATTATGGATTTGATTATGGATTATATTATAATTAGATTACTTGATGTATTTTGGTTATATACCGATGATGACCGCTTTCAACAGCTTGTTACAAACAGTCAAGGTCGAAAATTCTACTATTACTATTTCTTATAAAATTCAAATCAAAATGAAACTATTTTGTCTCTTACTGCATTCTTCTGTTTTTATTGATAAATGAAAACGAAACTTGAAAAAATTCTAGTAAATCTATTCGATTTATTGTCTATAGATGATTTTTAATTATATCAAATATAAATATGCTTATGAAAAAAATCTATAAAAAAATGTTAACAAAATGATTAATTAATCAAATAAGTATTTTCTATGATTATGAATAGTCAAGAATTTTAGCATTAAAAGTAAAATAAAATATCACTTTTTGTTTTTCTTTTTTTTTTTTTTTATTTAGCAATATTCTTCCTAGCAAATATGTGATTCACAATATACATTAAAACTTAAACAAATACTTAAAGATACTACTATCCTTTTTAAGGGATTAATTTTTGTTTATTAGATAGTCTTTCTATAATAATATTGACAAATAATTCATGTACATTATCAATTTCTTCAAATATCAATCCTCCTAATGACATACGTACATTCTCTTGTTTACTAATTTATTTTTTTTCGTTTAATCTTATATTCAATAGTTTGACTCAATTTTATTCTTAAGATTAGAACAATCGAAAGTTAAATTTTGTCTTTAATTATTCTGTAGGTCAATTAGATACCTATTTTACTAAAGAAAAATTTATTTTAAAAGCAAAAAGTTTATTTTATTTTCTTATGTAATAGGTAAGTGTTAATGTATCAAATGTAATACAAATCTTAAATAACTTAATTCAAGTAAAATTATTAATATGTTCACAAGTTAATAATAAAAAAATTTGAAAGAGAAATATTTTTATATAAATTATGAGATTTAATTAGTAAATCAATTTCAAAGGTCCTAATATTGTAACCTGCATATAAGAAGTCTTTACATAACATCTCTATTCGATTTTCGTCCACTTATCGATTGCAAAAAAATAATCGGTGAGAACCAGAATTTGATACTCTTTCTAAATATATCTTTAGAATTTTTTCTCTGACTTACGACTCGATAAGTGTTTTGTTTTTTGGTTATTCCTAATTTCTCTACAGAGTATTTTGGGATAGATTTTATCTCCTACATTGTAAAGAATTTAATGCTCTACAAACTGATGGACTGTAATAGGCTACAACTCAAAAGACTTAGAAACTATAAATATTTTTCTAAATAATCGTTTTTTTTTGTTGCGAATTTTCATATTTAAAATACAACAGATTCTGATAGTTTGCAATAATATTTAGGAAAGAAAGCAGATAACAAATTTTCTATGGCAAAATGCATTCTACAAAATGGTGAAGAAGAAAACTTTCTTATGATTCAAATTGAGGTAGTTTTCATCAAAATACAAAAATGAACTACATGAAAAATTCTGTAGAAACAGTGTTTCTGGCTTTTAGCAAAGTTTGGCTCTCAATCAATTAACTATAAGTCAGAAAATTAGAAATAGTATCAAATTTTGATTCTCATCGACTCCTTTTTCCTTTTTTGCAACCGATTAATAGATATTCAGAGTTACTGATAAAGAGATTCAAGTCTGAAAGTCTCGAACTAACAAATTTATTCTGATTGTCAAAATTCCAACTCTGAATATTGAGTTGACATTTTTCTCATCGTATAATGAGGAATGCTGATCATGCTGCATGAATTTTTTATGATCATAAAAAGCTAGCCAACCATCAAAAGATAAATTCCATCTAAACTAAAGGACTTTCACCTCGAAATTTTGACTTCACTTTTCTATGTAACTTTTAACCAACAGTCAGAAATTCCTAGTAGCTAGTAGTTTCCAATTCATACTTTGGTTAAAAAAGAATCTCAGAAAAGATCGTTTTTCTTATAAGAATTCTAAACATACGATACCAGTCATAAAAACCACATTTTTTAATACTCATTTTGTCTCCTTATCGATAGTACTAGTCATATACGAATTAACAAGTCTTTCATTTTTATTAAATAATAATTTGAAATAAGTTTGGTCAACATCACTCGTTGTGAGTTTGTGCAAAACAGTTTTCAAAGAGTTTTTCCTTCGTTCTTAATATTAACGTATATGAGGCACGATAAACTAAAACAAAAGTTTTTACTATTAAAAACTAGGGTGTGGGTGAGGGGTCAGGCTTTGGATGAACACATTATCTATATTCATAGCCACACCCACACCCTTCATATATGTTTCCTCAACAATAAAGAAGAAATTTCGCAATCAAAATATCTTTGCATCAATTCCAAAAAATAATTGTGTCACCAAAAAAACAAAAAAGTTATCTACTTCTGTAATATGATATCTACACTCATATCTATTTAGTTTATTAAATCTTCTCCTTTTTTTGTTATTGATCAACCTTTTATTTGGAAAAGTGAGTAGTTCAATTAAGAAATAGTATTATCAAATGAAATTTTTCAACCATGTTTCTGGATATGCAAATCTTAGGCCAATATATAAATTAGCTTGAGCCATTACTAAATTTCTATTAGTATCAAAAAATATCCAAATTAGAACAATGTATCATATTTATTCCATATAGTGTGTATCTGAATAATTTTCCTATTCCATTATTTGAATTTGTTTTCTTAACAATGAATTGAATCTTCTAGATAGAATGTCTCTGAAACTAGATAAAATGCGTAAATTTTTAGATAAATTTTGCTTTTTACATGAGAAGCAAAGTATTACAAGAATATTGCTTTTCTATAATGAATCACGTCATTCTATCTTCACAGTACAAATTCAACTAAAATGTTACTGTCACTACGTACTTTTATTGTTTTCTCTGGAAAGTTTACTGTTTCAGTACAGATTTTACATCGAATGTATTTAATTTTCGTTGCAACTTATTGTCAAATATTTATGAAACGTTTAATGTTTCTGTCTTGCAAATTTGTTTGAGCTTCACCTATCTCAAAAAAACCCCAAGTGTAGATTGCAACAGAGCTGAAAAATTATTCAAAAAAAAATAACAAACCTATTCCGTGGGACATTCTCTATCAGTAGAGTGTTGTATATACCAATGCAAAACATACTCTGTCAATTTTCATTCAACAAATGTACTTGATATTAATTCTAGCACTGAACGTTGCAATCGTTTCTATCAAATTTTTGTTGACACGTTGCTCAAACTGTGAAACAAAAAATTTAGGATGCTTTCAGTATAGCTTCTAATTTCTGTTTCTATATATACGCATCAACATTCATGTTTCCGTCCTTTTTTTATATTGTTTTTAACTCAAAATATGTTGCTCTAGCAGGTCGATTTAGCTATCAATCCGCACGTTTTCGTCATTGTAACTTGTACTTCATCAGAATTTGTTCTCTTTTATAATAGTTACATTCAATTTATAAAATAATATTCATGTTGAAATGGAAAAAAAACCATACGAGTGAATATCTATGGACGTTCTTTTTTTTTACAGTCACTTTTTCATCATTTCCTAATTTACGTTTATTATTTACAGTTGGTTGAATTTCTTTCGATTTAGGTAAACGCTCACTTGGATACGGAGCAGGTGGATAACTAAAATATTTCAGCTGAAGAGTTTCGCTTGCATTCAGTCGTCGTTTTGGATCGAGTTGCATAATTCTTTCTAATACATCAAGTTAATCTGTTCCAACCACTTCAAATATTTTCAATAAGTGATCAAGATCAGAACCACTAAGTAATAATACTACTCGAAGTAACAATTCGATCATAATTAAACCAGCTGCCCATATATCGACAGCAGTACCATATTTTCTTGCACCCAAAAGTAATTCAGATGATCGATACCATCTTGTAACAACTTTATGAGGCATAACTCTTGATGGTAAACCGATAAAGTTTGCTAACGGAAAATTGGCTATTCTTAAAACACTATGTTTATCAATTAATGAATTGTTTGGTTTTAAATCTCAATAAAGTATCTAATTATTAAGAAGATATTCAATGCCAAGCAATAATATAATAATAGTATGATTTCGTATGTGCTGTTGTCAACAGAATATTTCTATTATTAATAATATTTTTAAGATCAGTATTCATAAATTCAAATACTAAACAAATTCTTGGACTATTTGAAACATATTCTCCAAATGAATCGAGTAATTCGGTAACATTTGAATGTTTGACTTCTTGAAGAAATTTAATTTCTCTTAAAGCAGTTAAATTAATTCCATCATATGCTACTTATCGACTACCGATTTTAATCTTTTTCACTGCGACATTGTCATTTGTTTGTGAATCTTGCTTTATATACAACAACATAGTTTCTTTCACCAACTACTTCAATTACAAAGATCAAGTTCTCATAAAAAAATCTCATGCTAATGATTAACTTGTTCGATTCAACTATTTAAAACTTATGTCTATGAAACTTCTTGGAATAGAAATTGATAAAAAGAAACGAGCTTGCTCAAAATATATGCAGTCAATTTTTCATTAAATCAAGTATTTAGTGAATGTTTTATATTAATATTATTAATTGTTCGAAGTTCGATACCTGCAAAAACTGTCAATCAGCGTATGTGTATTACTTTTGTTGATGACTTATTTTTATCAAATAGTCGACTAAAACTACAAAAAGCTTCTAAGAGAATTAAAGAAAATAATGAAAATATTCCTGAACAAGACTATAGAATCTTTCAGCTTGAGTGCTATTGACAATGCCATGATGTGTATAGAAAAAATAACAAAGCGAAGCATTTTATTAGGAATCTGCACCATATAGATAAGGAGTGTGAATGGGTTTGATTCATCACCCACACCCATTCGCTATTGATTTCTTACATGAAGCAAATCATTGGTTATAGTTTTATCACTATTTTTGGAAGCAGTTTTTTAAGCAACTGGAGCACATACGGTAGGCGTAGCTACCACTTGAGAACAGGTCCCAGAGGTGTTTAAACGAGAAACGAGCGTGTTCGGCAAGGATAGAGAACGCGTAAGAAACGGCGGAAACTGTGGAACAGCGTGCCATGCTTCCCCATTCTCAAACGATCTCATTGACATTGAATGTTTTGCATAACAATGATTCGGAAAAAAGTGCATGACAATAAACATACAGCAGAAACAAGTAGCTGCAAGTTCAAAAAAACTACTAATGTGCGAATACACCAAGTCCAATTTCACATAATAAAGCCATTCAGTTGCTACTGATGCTGTGACAGTACTAACAAATAAATATAAACAGATTTTGATCCACACAGAACGAAGTTTAGAATACGATTCATAGAAAAATTCAAATAGAATAAAAAATCCAATATTAGCTGACGTTGTTCGAACAATTTTATCACTAAAAAATATCGGCACTAATGTAGCTAAAATTGCTTCCAAACGTGAGAGAAAACTAAAAAAATGCCTCTGGCGCACTTTGATATGTAATCTAACGTTATAATTCGGATTTAAATACTGAAGTGCACGTTTACAACACCAACAATATTTCTCGTATGAGTTGCAAAGAGCCATCATTTTACACATCCATAATGCCAGAATGAAGACAAAGTCTAACAAAATATATCCGATATATCTAAACTGTTGTAATCGATTATTTTGTCGAAGATAATAGAAGATATACAGAGCGTCGCCAGTTGTTACCATAGCCCAAATAATAAACTGATAGAGTGTTAGTAACCATTTGGAATTAATTGTCACGGAGTATTGTAAAAAATAAAATATAAACAAAACCGAAGAAAGAAGACCACCGGTTTTATTGTTTGACATGACAAGTGTGGCAGCATCATAGACATAACCACCAAGTGCAATTAATGGCACGGTAAGCAGTAAATAGTAGAAAAATTGATCATCATCGTCATCTGGTTCGATAGACACTGTTGATGGTTCCGATGCTACAGTCGATGCACGGTCTCTGACTGAGATTTTTGAGACAACTCTACATTCGGAAAACATAAGAAAATACGGCCTAACAATTGTGTTACAAATATTATTTTTTGCATCTGAAGCACACAAAGATTTAGCAGCGTATTCCTTATACTTGAAACACGTATGGTTGCACATACTCACCTCTTATTTGCACTCATATAAAGTGATGAAGATATTTCGGAGTTTAGAGCAACTTTATCTGTATTGAATAGCGTCAAACAATGTATGCTTGGCTTACAAAGTACAGAATGATATGTATTCGTTTCAAAGAACCTATAAATGGATAAGTAAAAACAAATATTTTCGAGTGATGAAATTGAACATGAATAACTGAAAGAAAATCGCCATGGAAAAAGAACTAACGAAATCAAATTCATTCTACTTGTATCGGTCGCAGTCATGCAAAAATATCGAAGAATGCACACAATTTTATGATAAACAAAGTAGCTTGAGGGTGTGGGTATGGGTGTATATTGCTGAAGAGAAAAATGCCCCCGCCCTCCCTCAGAAACCCATAGAAACACGCACACACACGCCTATTCTAATGTTTTGCGACTTGTTCTTGGTACATAGTCGATTACAGCTCATATTTATGCCACATATACTATGTGACATAATTCTAAGATGCAGCATACAATAAGTATTTCGCTGTTCGAACTAGTTTAAGAGTGTGTAAATTATACGAAGGTTACCGATGAAATTATGTTGGCAATCGGGTCAATCAGTACCAAAGTAATTACAGCTTTGCAAAAATTTAGAGAGTGAACACATTGGACAATTTTTGTAAAAAGTTTCGCTATTAACAATACTTCATAAATAAGTATTGTTATGTGTCATAATCTAATTCTATTGCTTTCATAAACGATTTGTTAGAACTTACGAGAAATCATTTTCAACTGTTGGAGTACTTTCAAGTTAGGACTTTGTGAGTCTTGTAGATCTTGGTGAATTACATCTACCATAGAAAACGTCCGTCTCCATGACTTATTTTGGAGACTGAACGTTTTTTTTTGTGAATTTTCAGCTTCAGGGTCTGACATTTGCAGTAAAACCATATTGTCGAATCAGACCTGAAGCTTTGGCCACATAAACAGGTTATCTAGATTAGTTTGCATAAAAAATTTTTGGAACTTTTGAGCTATCTACCTCGAAGATATGACATTTTCAAAAACTGCATGCTGTATATATTTTCTATCAAAAACGCAAGATACCTTGAAAGCTGTATATCTCAGAGAGACGTAGTCCAAAAGTTCTGAAATTTCTTATGAGAACTAGTCTAGGTAATCTCTTTATGTGGCCAACGTTCCAAGTCAAAATTCGACAATAGATCTTGCTGCAAGTCTCAGGCAATAAAAGTAAAAATTCATTAGAGATACTCGATCTCCTCAGAAATAAGCTATAGGGACGAATGCCTTCTGCAGTACATATAGTTGGGCAATGTCTACAGGATGTACTAAGTTCCGAACTCTAAAGTGCTCCAATATTTGTGAATGTTTCCTTGTCACACTTATTTCTTTACTTTTGGTCCCGCTGCATTTGTACTCCTTTGAAAAAATTACTACACCTAGAAACTGATTATATGTTGCATCTTTATATTTTATCAACTACATAGTATATGTGATATAAATAAGATCTAACTATATTCAAAGAACAAAAAAATCAAAAAAGTTGTGTGTTATGTTACTTTTGGTCCACACTGTATATGCAATTAGATGATGATGCTATAGTCGTCATCGTTAAAATGATACTCCAAAAAGTAATGTTAATTTTTACCTTTGTGTATAACTAAAATTAGTTTTCTATGAATTTAGAACTAATTTTCAAACATCGTTAAAGATAGTTATTAATTTTTCAATGCGTTCTTACAGAATCTTTTCTTCAGAAAAACGGATTGAAATGCTACCATCGGTAAATCAAGTAGTTTTTGAAAATTACAAAATCATTTTACCATCAATCGAATTCAAAAATATTTGAGCTTTTGCTATCTCCGTTTTCAAGAAAATGGAATTTATTTAAGATTTGGTGTGCAGAAATAAAAGCGAGGAAGAGCACGTCAGTTTGTAAATCGTATGGCTCTGTAAAAGTATTACCGAATTATCTCATGGAATGTCTCTTAAATAAGTTGAAAATCAAGTATACTCACGTGCTGCATAATACTGGAATGTATGAAATTTTTTAATGTGTGTTCTCAAGTGCCTGTACTACGTATTTGTCGATGATGAAATTGCTTGGTTTCTTCCAACCTGTTTCCATTTATTTGCATCACTGAAGCATGACATTTTCATCGATTAGACAGTTTGTTTCTTCAAGATACACTCGCCATTGCACGTGTTCGTTGCTTTCACTATTTTCTTTCTCTATATGTCTTTTCTCTTTCTTTGTACTGCATTTCACTATAACACGAAAATTTACACCGATGAGCCCATATACCCAAATATTGAAGTTAGATGTCGAAATTCTTTTTTTCATATAGAAACAACGAACCAACAGGACTGAGGTTTCTTATATGAGAAAACTTCGCAATGAACAGTTAATTGAAGGATGGGGTGTGAGTGTGGATAGTAAATCATCCCGTCAGTGACGAACACCCTACCCACCCTCACACCCTCACACCCTCACACCCACCCACCGACCCACACTCTTTCCTTCTTTTCATTAACAAGAAGCATTGTCCACCAAATAATCCATATATAAACTCATCAAATCGTACATTTTCAGATGATTTTGCATTATCTATTAAATCGAAAAGAGAAATATCGAAAGACACTTTCATTGAATGAGCGAAAGATGAAATCATAGAAGTTTGATGGAAAAGTTATTTTAGAAAAACAATTTTCTTCATCTGTTCATTTGAAGTCTATTTTAGAAGAGTGATTTTTATTAGCCGTAACAAAAGATAAACCATTTTATAGATAACCAAAGACGAAAATTTTGAAAAATAATGAAGTTTGAACAGACGAATATTTTAAATGTCTTTAAACTACAGAATAACTCTATATTCCTGAAATACACGTTAGTTCTTATTTTTAAATAAACAACAAAAAAATCCTTAGTAAGAAATAATATTATGCATGTTTGAATGATTCTTTAAACTGTAGATACATAACTATCAATAATAAAAGAACAATAAAATTACATTTGTTTAAGTATAAAATAGAGGATAAATTTCTTTTGTTCTTATGATTTCATTTGAGCTAATTCATATATATTTAATTTTCGCGAATTACTTTTATTCAAAAAGAATTTTTTAGAAAACAAACATTTATAATAAAGGAAAATACTTTTGAAAATTTTTTGTCTGAACAAACTCGTCATCTATATGTAGTTTTTTTAATTTAGCACAAGTAAGACGTGTTGCATCGTTTGTAAAATTCTTTGTTACCATTTCAAGTGCTTCAAACTTGATGCGAAGATTCAATAAACTAGGTAAATGAATGTTTTTATCGACGAGAAATTCTTCAGCATAATCAACATGTGCTTGAGCTAGATTCAGAAGGATAAGATGACGAAATGTAATCAATGACGATGAATGTTGCTTCTGTTGTGGTAGAATATTCTTAATAATTAATTCTTTGAGAAAAGGAAAATCTTGCGAAATGACTTTCAATAATTGGTGTTCAAAATGATGTGTATTATCCTTCATCTTCAAGCGTCGAACATTATGAAACATCCCACCTTGAAAAGAGTTGTTTAGATGAAGAAAATTTTCAAATTGATATGGAAGTGTATAGATATGATATTCAATTACGGAATACAATCGTTTATAATAGACATATGAACCAACTTGAACTTGTTCAAATTCTTTACCAATGAAACTATGTTGAATGTCTTCTTTTGTTGTAATATTAGTTTTTATATCATTTTCGATGAGAAGTTCTGTATTTATACTGAAAGTAAATTTATTTAATCGTGGCATATGAACAAGAATTTCATCATGTAATTGAATACCATCAATAACATCCGAGCTAAATTTTACTACAGACAAAAACAATATCAATTCTTCAAGATTGATCATTCGATGGAGTAATGGAATAATTCTCTCATGATAATTAAATGTTTCATAAATCGAGCACAACGAAAAATATTTCAATTTAGTAAGTTTTTTCTACAAAATAAAAAATGTCTTTGTTTTATTCAAATTATTGTTATTTTCACAAATTATAATCATCGAAATTTCTCTTACTGTGACGAGAGTAACATTTTCTTTAGGCCCAATATGTTCCACATTAATAATTAATTTCGATAAGTATTTGAGATTGGAATCAAGAAGATAAAGGCAATCATCAAAATCTTTGACATTAACTTTTAATTTAGTTAAACTTTCAGACATACACATTGTTTGTGATATTTGATGAATACAAATTGACGCATTTCGTTTAGAAAATAATTGACAAAAATTCAAATTTATTAACTGTTTACATAAAGATAAAATCAATATAAATATCCTTGAAATTTCACACGGTCGTGATGTAAAACTATATATACCATCGAGATCCTCATTCTTCATATCAATACACTTCTTCTGAATATCGATATTTAGATATGTAATTTGTTGACTAAGAAGATGACGAAGAATTGAATCACCTTTAATGTAAAAAGAATATAGATGAAAATTAATTTTGTATTTCATTATTTTATAAAATGAAACGAACAAAACTAATTATTAATAATATACCTGTTAAATAGTGAAGAAGTTTTTCTTCTTGAAAATTAACAAGTGATATAGAGTAAAGTTTAGGATAACTGGCATTCAGAAGAATACGTTCGATTGAATGTTGTTCAACAGTAATTTCATATACTTGTGAATGAATGTGAGGCAAGATATTTTCACATATTCTTGAAAGAACCTGATCATCTACTGAAAATGTATATTCAAAAAATGATTTCATAGTCATAACGGTCATATTAAGATTATGAATACAAAGAGGATCAAGCGATAATTGATTAAATCGTTCATTGATATCCACAAGTGAATAGAAAACATCGATGAAACTTAGTTTGTTAATAATATTAAGTAATATTTCATTAGGTAAATCGAGTATATTTAAAGGATTGTTATTCGAAGTATTCATATGTAATTAATAATGTTTATTCATATTGATTTCATATGCTCCCATTTTCTTATTGTCATTGTCTGAGAGAACAATGAAAGGTCAAACATTGATATTATTATATTGGGTTCCACACAGGCTGGACAACAAAGAATTAATTTAATTTGAATTGATTCGTTGTTGTCTAAATTATAATGAATAGATGATAGAATTTTTTTTCTTTCTATCTAACATTTTTCATTGTGTGTTATTGGTATATTTGTCAGGTCCTTCTTCTTTTGTCATAATGTTCATCATATGTTATGTTTTTAATTGAACATGTGTTCATCTTTAGAATTAGATATAGTTGACCAATGTGGGTGTGGGGTGTGGGTGTGGAGTGTGGGTGTGGGTGGTGTGGGTGTTGATGTGGATGGGTGTTGGGTGCGAGATGAATGTTGATTTCTCTTTAGCGACACTCGCACCCTCACCCACACCCACCCACACCCCACACACTCACACCCACACCCACACCCTTCTTTCGGAGGAGCATTGATCCCAAGATCTAGATTCTCCAGAAAACCTACTTCCAACCATTTTGCACAAAAGTATTCGTTTAACAAACGAAACAGTATGCCAAGAAACCCTTAAAAGCCAAAGGACAACTTGATATGTCCCGCTGTTCTCAACATAACCTAGACCAACTTTCTACTGTTACATTGCTATTGAACATCTGACATGAAATAATGCATTTTATTTGAAATTTATTTACTATTGAAATAAAAATAAAAATTGGAATAGTTGAATATTTTATTTTGTATTTCAATAAAAAAAATTCAAGTAAAACGTATTATTTCATATCAGATGTTCAAATATTCAATTAAAGTACAGTTTTTTTTTTAATTTTAACACAAAGCAATTGAAATGGAATACATTATTTCATATCAAATGTTTAATTAAAGATCAGTACTTTTATCTTTTATTTCAATAAGAAAAGTTTTCAAATAAAATGTATTATTTCATATCAAATGTTGTATTAAAGTTCAATATTTTAAATTTTATATCAATAAAAAAAATTTCAAGTAGAGAGAAAGGAATATGAACATCATGTTTTCCACAGGGGTCGCAGCGAGGGGGTATCAAAAAGAAGGATTTTAAGAAGGAATTTTTTTTTTTAAAATAGGAAATTTAAGAAAAAGAAGGAATTTTTTCAAATGTACTGTTGTCAAATCAAAATGAAGGTAAATCAAGCAAACATGAAATAGAGCTGAATTTTAGATTTTACTTTTCCTCGAAGTAAAATGAGCCGACGCATCCATTGAAGACACGCTGAAAAATCTAAATTAATTCGGCTATGTGATGACTTATTGTAGAAGACGATCTTTTTGATAGCATCTCGTTATGAGGAGTAAATGTTGTTGTTACTGTCTTTTCGTCCAAAAACAGATTTTTTTGCACTGAGTTTGGCAAAAAAGTGCTGATGTGAGAAGATTGTTGTTCCATTTGGCTTTTGTATTTTACATGTCGCCTCTTCTTTGAAAAAAAAGAATTTTATGAAAGAAAGAAATCAGTTTACGTAAACAGATGACATTAATTCAAAGAATAAGAGAGAGTAAACATATAAAAAAATGGCAATAGTTGACTTATGCCTCAAACAGACTGAAAAAAATAAGACAAATTGAAACTGAATTGACGAATTCATCGTCTAGAATAGATAATTTAGGTCAGAACAGATTAGTCATGTTCTTTATTTCAACTTTAATTCACTTTTTGTGGAACTCACATATATTTTCGAAGAAAATAGTGAGTGTAAGTTTTAAGGTCAAGTTTTTGCGGCTCTCCCCT